TTGCATGCCATTATCACTTCAAAGAGCTAAATAGTGTTTTCAGCAATGTGGATACAAAAACTAAGAAATAGCAAAATAAATGTACATATATCAAATTTTCTTTACAAGAAAATAACTTGTACGTGAAGAATATCAGTGAGAGATTCGAGTCTCGCCAGCTCAATTCAGCGCAGGTTATTTCGATCTGAAGGTCTATAAAGACATATTTCAAACGTCGAACAATATCTATAGATCTTGTAACCTTAATATTGTGGGAAATGAGTATCACTTTATTCTCGTTTGCAAACTCCATCTTCAATTAAGGAACGAATCATATGTGATATCCAAATATCAATTTGTAGCGCATACTCACGTCAACCTCCTTACGTTTAACAACATACTGATGTGTTCAATCCTGCATTGTTCATGAAACACGCGTACCTTGTGATTGTGTTGAACTACGGGCCTCTGTTTATGATATAGAAGTAATTGTACAATGGATTTATTATGATATTAGAAATGATTTAGTGGCCTTTACATGATAGGATCATATTTCGACACATCGATTGTTTGTCTCCACTTCAAACGTTACAATTTGCAATCAGCGTCTTCTTTTGATATATACAAGCAGGAGGTTCGTGATCAATAAAGCCGCATTAGGCTAAATGTGAGGCTAATGCAAACATTTTAAGGACATTTATGTATTATTCCCAATGACAAACACCTTGCTTTTTCGATATTTGAAACTATCACTGTTCCATTGTGTCGACTGGATCCCTTAGCATAGATAAAACACTCGCGTTATAGTTCCAGTGAAATCTCAGGATCACATTGTTCCATACATCACGGTTATGTCTGTGATTTCGATGGTTGTGCCTTTAATCAATATGCAGCTTCCTTATCAAAATCATAGCTCTGTCCTTATAGCCAGTACTTCTTCAAAGTGTTTTTGTTTGATATAACAGTGACAAAAATTATGTCCAATGCAATTCCCTTTTTTCACTTGTATCATATGTTTCCATGTTTGTTTCAGGTGAACTATTTGCTTGCATGTGCATGTGTTTGTGACGGAGGTTACTGGCAGTGCAGGATAATCTCACCTTTTCGCGAGCACCTGGTATCGTAGCTTCTTTTGATAATGAGACATACAAAATCGTACATTGGACTATGCTCTGCAGTGATTTCTTGTAAATATTGAAAGGGTTTTATCGTTTGTATTATTATGATTTACCAATTGTACAAATATGAGTCTTGTATTGTTTACTTTCCCTTTTCTTCTTTTTCGAATGAGACGAAAGTAGCCATATTGGTTACGTAAAATAAAGTTTTAAAAAATATACCCAGTGATTTATGTGAGACACTTTGCTGTAGACATTTAGGGGCTTTTGAAGGCGATTACAATTATTTCCGAGCATGGTCTAAAAAATACCACACAAACAAGACTACTGAATATGGCTCGATAATGTATTTTTGTTCATGTAAGTTGAAACAAAAAAGATATGAGTAGTTTTGCAATGACTACAACAAGACAGAACACTTTTTTGTGCCAGAATGTGTTTCGGTAGCTGATTGTGCATGTCATCTCTATAATTAAGGAGGAAAATTTGATTCCTTACCTCTTCAGAAGGAAAAAAAAACTATGTTTATCGTAACTCAAAAAGAATGATTCTTGTCTGATTTCCGCATTTTTGACACAGGTTCAAACACTTTTGTCCAAAATCACAATCAATATTCGGACCCAAAATACCAGTGCATTCGCTCGTATTTCATATTTTAGCGGGGTCCGGGTGGCCCAGTCGTCTAAGACGCCGCGATTCGCTGTGCATTGTTGCGTCCCTTAGGCACGCCAGAAATCTAGTATGACTGAGGGTCGCCGCGATTATGTTTCTAGGTTTGTCAGCACCATACCCGTGCTCATGGGTTTCACCGAAGTGGTAACCGAGATCTGCATCACTTCGGGCTTTCCTCCCACATTAAGCTGACACTCTGTAATAGAACTGGGATACTGTTAAAAGCGGAGCTGAACCCAGGTCACTCACTCATAATTTAGCACATCTGACGGAAATCGAGTAAATTTATGTCGTGGACTGTTTCTCAGGTGTCCGTCGTGAACAATCCCCACGGGTTTCCAAAACAGATGTATGTAGTTGTTGATACACACATTATTCCCTAGCGGTTACGTTATAGCATTTTACGATTACGTTTTAACATTTTACGGTTACATTATAGCATTTTACGGTTACGTTATAGCATTGAAGCTTTATCAATGGGATCTCTCGCCTCCAATGTGATGTCATAAGCGAATGATACCACATCTGCAGACAAGCAGTTTTTCCAAACCATATTACTATTTTGTACAAATAAAAGATGTTTCACTCAAGTTTGTATTCTTACTTTGACGAATACAGGTAAAACGACATATGGGAAGTTCTTTCTCATAGATATTGACCGTCACATAAAGTAGGCCGCGTTTTGATATTTTTTTGCGAGATGATGTATCTTTGTTATTTCAAGATTGTCTCAAGCGTCGCAATTGGTATCAATTTGAATCCATATTTTCGGACCTTTTGATTGAGAATGATTTGTGATAATAAACAAAATGTCACATTCGTCAAAAGTCGAAATCTCCTTGTCAAATCAAGGAAATGTTCTACCTCAGTCGATTGTTATTGATATATTTGGAATCAAAATAGATGTTTGTTTGACAAACAAACATGTGATACATTTACTGAAGTTCTTTCACGCTTGCATCATTTCCGTATCGATCAATTATCAGATTTACGGTGATTCATCTTGAAACCTCTTTAGATCGCACAATTGATTTGCGCTGATTCACCTTGAAACTCCTTTAGATCACACAATTGGTTTACGGTAATTCACCTTGAAGCTCCTTTAGATCACACAATTGATTAACGGTAATTCACCTTGAAACTCCTTCACATCACACACCTGGTTTATGGAAATTCACCTTGAAACCCCTTTAGATCACACAATTGATTTACGGCGATTAGATCACACAATCGATTTACGGCGATTAGATCACACAATCGATTTACGGTAATTCACCTTGAAACTCCTTTCGATCACACAATTGATTTACGGTAATTCACCTTTAAACCCACGTGGATCAAATGTCCGATATATGGCGATTCACTTTTGAGCCTGCGTAGGTCACCCCTCAGATGTACGATGGCTATATTGAAACCCATGTACATGTATATCACATGTCCAATTCATGTTGATCACAGATCAGAGTCTGTGATTCGTCTATAAAAACTAGGACAAGGATAATGTTACAAGTGGCGTAAAACCAAACTCTCTGACTCACTCCATATTTATTACAGCGAGGTTTTACCTGGGTTGAACAGTGATTTGCCGTGATCGATCCATATGGTTTTCGCCACTGTTTTGCCTGTTACGCCCAATGGAGTCTGTTGTGGCAGATAATCGAGACTGGTTATTCTCTTGCATTGACGTTTCATAATATAATCATATGAGTTCAGGGGCGGCCGGGTAGCCTAGTGGTTAAAGCGTTCGCTCGTCACGCCGAAGACCCGGGTTCGATTCCCGACATGGGTACAATGTGTGAAGCCCATTTCTGGTGTCCCCCGCCGTGATATTGCTGGAATATTGCTAAAAGTGGCGTAAAACCATACTTACTCATTCATATGAGTTCAGTTCCCATTAAAACACACCAGTGACGTCACTCCAGTGTTTATTACTATGTGTTTGAATGAATAGTAAATTATTCATTGTCATATAACCTTGACCCCACATTTCAATTGATGTAAACTTGGACATGACAGAGCTATTATTTTGTTTTGACATGTTTGGATCCCAGGACTATGCATTATAAAAAATAACTCTTGACGAAACTTTGGACACGTGCTTCAGCAGCAGACAAGATATTTAACGTGCATCACACACGTATAAACACATGGCCACGTAGACGTCTGTTTTAATTACTTACAACTGTACATAAGAATGTTATGTCAAAGTCTAGTAGTTTGGATGTACTATATGTTCCCGTGTATTTACCTGGTAAACACTTGACTTGCCCTTGCATGTGTTTGTGACGGGTGCCACCGGTAGGGAAGGATACGCTCACCTTTTCGCGAACACCTGGTATCATCACTATTAAATAGTGATTCGTAAATACATGCTCATGATACATTCGGAATCGTGCAACGGACTCTGATTTAAGCAAAGGTTTCTTATAAAATATAAGTAGGGATGTGTTAAAAAATATAAACATACTCGAACCTGTTGGTGGGTGAAAAGAATTGTGGGGCACGGCGAGTCTTTTTTACGGATCGATGGTCACTCAATGTTCTCCTTAGCATTGTTCAAGTAGAACGGTTGATGCATTGTCACTGTTCTTTTCTAAGGACGAATGACGCTACCCTATTCTGGCAGCAACTCTGAAGATGAGGAAATCGTGTATATCGATCACTAATTCCGCCGACCATAATTGCAAAGATCGATTCATCGGTAGACATACATGTATATCACTCAATGTTCGATCTCACAGCAACCAAGCTCAATTCCTCCCAAATGAAACTGTACCTGAGATGATGTTCTATTGTTGGCGATGCCCGTCGGCTTCTACGACCCACATTACATTGAGATTTCCTCCTACATCAAACTAACACACGGTGATATAAGCTCATCGCCCTCTGATTACAGGAATACGCCTGCAAACATCCTTGTGTACCCTTATAGTATGTCATCGTCACGGAATGACGAACGATTGATTCCGTAGAACTATACCATAATCGCAAAGTCAATTTATGATTGATTTATAAGTAACATCAAACTTAAGTCATTGATCTGTATTATATGCATTGAGCGATGAATCAATAGGTTTCCATATACTGATTATAAAAGTGGTAATTTTATTAATTTTATAACAAAACAAACTACCCCCTTAGTGCATGTAACATATTGACCACTCGCTATGGTAACCATACGGGAGCGCCACGAGGAATCAGAGCATCAGTGCACACCAGTCTCCAGCACCGTTGACACGTTAAGCACAGGTGTTCAACAGATCTTAGCGAGTGCAGAATGGCTTTCTATTCTCGGTACAAAATGGTGTGGGATAAAATCAAAATGAAGACCATCATGTTGATGTTGATGTTTTCATGTGTGTCATCAGATTGGCTGTCAGAGATAGGTGGAGAGCAGGACAGAGTTTTACCCGGACATGTGTATCAGGTATTTCAGACAGCAACAGTTCGACAGTGTCACCGACTCTGTGGGTATTCAGGAAGGTGCGTTTCGGCCAACTGGATCTTGTCAACTAGTGAATGTCAACTTAGTACTAGTGCTGTAGGTGGCGGTAGTTTGCAAGTGTCCGCGAACAACGTGTACCTTCCGGTTCATCAATTTCCTCCACAGGTAGGCAGTTTCCATATGAATGCGTAAATGTTGAATCATGACAGTTCAATAGGGTAACAGATACCCTAGTTGACTAATGAGGCTGTGAACTCTCCTGAATTCCGAATATTATCCATGTTTTCATCTCATTTGCTCACCCTAAGCCATGAATTCCGAATACTACTTAACACAACCCCAAAATCATATGTAAGAATTGAATGAACAAAGGCAGAATGTCAGCCACAGACCAAAACCTATAGAACACGTTCCTTGGTCATAGAAGGACGACATTTGAAATTAAATATATATAAGGTATAGAATTATTTTTTTTAAATGTTGAATCTGCATAGTTACCAAATTCGATTTTATTGCGTTCCGTGTATCACACTGCAGAGTATCCTCTGAATGCACCCCCGAATCCCGCGTATAATTATTTGAAGGTGGGTGTGAATCCCACATTTGCCCTGATGATGATCACTGGTATGTCAGTACTATATGCTCATGATATCAATCACTGGATTGTCTGGTCCAGACTCGATTATTTACAGACCGCCGTCATATAGCTGGAATATTACTGAGTGCGGCGTAAATCAACAAACCAACCATATTACACGTTGTGGTGTAACCGACATACTGTTCAGAGCGGCATTTCACTATTTGGGGCGGTCGGGTAGCCTAGGGGTTAAAGCGTTCGCTCGTCACGCCGAAGACCCGGGTTCGATTCCCGACTTGGGTACAATGTGTGAAGCCCATTTTTGGTGTCCCCCGTTCGATATTGCTGGAATATTGCTAAAAGCGGCCTAAAACCATACCCACTCACTCACTCACTCATTCACTATTTCATTTTATCACAGTTCGAAATGGTCAACCTACTCTGAACAATACAATATCTACAACATCTCAAATTCAATTGGGCCTCAGTCTGGCACACTATGTAATCCTCTATGCTCATTCAAACTGATCTTAGAGTCTCTTCAGCCGCACCGATAGACAGATCAGTGTAGTTGTGATGTGTGTATGAACTTTAGGGTTGATTTATAAATTGGCATCTATCAACCAGTGCCGGTTTCAAGGAGAGAATATATTTAACAGCTTGATTGACTGCAAGGTTTGCTGGTAGCTTGCAATTGGTTTCTAAGCATCATGGACTCGGTAGGACTAGTTTTGACAAAGAGAACAAGAGTTATAAATTTTATGTGATAAAGAATACGAATATATTAATGGAAGATATTAGGTGCGTGTATCTTCAATGTTTAACTTTTATCATCCAATACTGGCTTAAACAGGATATATCACTTGGGTGAGATATGGAGGTTACAACTAGAGTAAATTTAACAATGATCACGCTTGTGTGTTTTGGGATTGTAAATATCCTGTATTAGGTATGAATATTCTATTTAGAAAGCCTTGGTGTGGTAATATAGGATATTCACCACCCCAAAACACACAAGCGTGATCATTGTTAAATTCAGTCATCGAAAACTAGTTCCCATCTCTCACAAGCATTGCCTAAACATTGCTAGTATTCCTGGAATGTGTGCTTTAATATACATGATGTCAGAAGGTCAGTGATTTGTCAGTCGGGCAGTGGCAACAGTCAGAATAGTTACAACTGAAGCTACATTGGGGTAACTACATATAGGCAACATAAAAATTGCCTACACATATTGTTTCTTATTGCCTTTCGCGGCAATCCATCGGTCGAAAAACTGGCCGTAACTGCCCTTTATCCAAGGGTGGCTACTTTAACCTAATCTTTCAGACGTCACGTTTGTTTAGAGTCTGCCTGGCCTGCCATGACGTTACGAAGAGCAGAGTCAGACGTACACACAGCGACAACATTAAACAAGGCAAATATTCGGTCGAATCCATCTTTTAATTTGGGGAAAAGGCCCCAACCTGAGTTGCTGTATGGAAGTTCGTAGGTTTTTGTATCTATACTGTGGGATCACACTATGTCAAAATGTTACTATTAGGACCAACCCTTTGGTATTCTCAGGAGTGTTGTAAGAGACAATAAACACAACTGGGAAAGGAGGAGTGGGGTTTGTTAAACATTTTTTTTGAAGGAAATCCAGCATGTTGGTGTTCATTATTTAAAACAAACAAACCATTAAGGCAAGAATAATTCGATCTGTATCTTTCGTTCTACAACGTCATACGTCTATGTTTATAAACTGATATTTGATACTGTGAGCACAAAATAGTTCCACATTGTCCTTGTGAGAATAGGGGGCACTGGTTGCCCAGTCGTCAAAGCCGTCGCAATTCGCTATGCAAGCCTGGAACCCAAGATTGTGGGTTCGAATCCCGGTCAACCTCGATTAGGATTCTAAGTTTGTTAGCACCATACCCGTGCTCGAGGGTTTTACCAATCAGGTAAACATATGAGATCTGCATCACTTCGGGCTTTCCTCCTACATTAAGCTTACACGCTGTAATAGAACTGGGATACTGTTCAAAGCATCATTGAACCCAGCTCACTCACTCACTTTTATGAGAATGAAGGTTGATAGGTACGATACCCAATCGTCCAAATCATCGAACCTGAACATTCAAATCATTAGGTTGCATTGAGCGCTTTTCGCTGACATTATTGAATCAATATATACTCCATTCCAGACAGAACATATTGAATAAACAATCACGAAACTTTTAAGGACCATGAACTTTAGTACTTATATTGATCTAACAATATAAAAATTCAAAAAGCGAGAGGGCATAAGCTGTCTAATAGTGGAAGCACATGTATCTCTATTGAGCGTAATATGTGATAATCCTTCTTTGACAAACACTGTTTTCAAGATTTTAACCAATACTTTATACCAATACTTGATTGAGAGAACTTGAATTGATTAAAGGACATCTCGCGATGGCACATGGCATTAAGTCGACTCAAATCGTTGGAAAAGACATAGCTCAAGTCCACACACAAATCTGGCTAAATGTGCGCTTCAGGTATTATCTATGGTAATTTTGCAATAAGGGAGCGACGATTTGATTTTCTCTTGAGATTTTTTTCTTGTCGAGAGCAGATGGTCAAAGACTCGCTGCCGTACATCAATGCGCTCAAGACGCAGACTCTGTACACAACAACCTCGGTATGGGTTTTCAGCTTGATGTTCTCGTCAAACTGGCGGGGATGGTGTACGCAATGCCGATCCGCCTTTGATCTCAGCATTCAAGGACAGATTGTCTGTGATGACTGAGCCGAGGTAGGTTAACGCGATGTCGTCTGCTCGATGCCGTGGCCCAACATGTTTGGCTTCTCTTCTCTTGGTCTTTGTTAAGTGTGTCAGAGCTGGGTCGTCTGCAAAAGCAGAGGGCTTTACGTACTTGACTAATTAAACAGCTTCCCATCCGATTTTGTGCGGCGTTAGACTCAGTCTGTCGAAGGTTCGATGTGTGGTTCAAGTGTAAACATGACTGTAAAGAAGATTCCAAGCAGGGATGGGCAAGTACACAGCTGCAGGATCGCAACTGAGGTATCCCATCCATTCCGAGCCCTAACTAATAGGATTTCACGTCCTCCTCCATTGCTAGTAGGCGCCAAGTGGCTTCCAGTGCAGTTTAAAAATGTTTTCCCAGGAGTGTAGATGAATAGTGCTCAACCCATCTCTTCATCTGCTTGCCTCTGTCACTGGTCGTTTTGCCCATTGCAGATTTCAGGTGCACCGTCTTATTTTGATTTGGATCAATGTCTTTCTTGATGCCATCGCACACACCTTGGATGATCTCACCATCAATGGATAATTGACTTCCCTCGCACAAGAGATATTTGCTATATGTAAAATAGAAAGGACAAAATCATTCCATAGTCATAAGATATCTCTGCTTGAAGTAGCTTCCATTTTGCAATTCCGAAAAAATCATAATCATGTGTTCATGAAACAAATAGTTGTGGTACCAGGTGCCCGCGAAAACATGTGTTTGGTATATTATGCCAAATGATTTTTAACTAGAAAAGAAAACTACTTAAATATAGTTCACAAATATGTTCTGTGAAGGTTTCACCACGGCCAAAAGATTTAAAATGTGTATGAAGCATAACGGTTGTACTTTTCAACAATAGTGCTCCTAACCTTGTTATAGATTAATAATATACCAACAGCGGATGTTTGCTATTTTATAGATTTATTCTTGAAAACATACCGTGAAGTTAATACGTATAATGAAGTAGTTCCTATCAGCCAATCAAACCTAGAATGACCGAGAGATGATAATATGTGCGCACTGCAAAGGTGTGTGGCAAATACATACACGCTTGAACTTCTTTAACACCAGGCGTTGTTTAGGATTAAGCAGTGATTGATTAAGCTATTTTTTATATGTCATGCTTTCTACACACGTAGGAATATAATCGATATTACATGTAGCATACAAACGCTGTAGCCATTGTTCAACCCCACCGGACGCAATTATCCGAGCTTGTCAAATAATCAAAAATCAACCTTTGGTATTGGTCTGACTATTTGATCTTCTTGGAGCTGGGGCTGGACTGGGATTTTATCGCAAAATATATATTCTGCTTCAGACAGTTAAAACAAACATTACATTGTTGCAAAGTGTTTTTCTTAAAAAAACATGTCAGGTCATATATTTTATCAAAATGGAGAAGCGATATTTTAACTTGTTCGACTGGTAATCACTATCAATTTGTTAAATAACTTCCTTCTCTCAGCAAATATATCTGTCCCCAAGAGCGATTTCTTTAAGATACATAACTACATATTTAAATCTTCCTGTTGAAACAAGCCGTTGGCATGGTATCTCCTGAGAACATAGAACTTGTACATTATGTGAATCACTAGTTTTTGCCGACAATTCCAGGATATTTCGCTGTGAGGTATTCAAAGAAGACAGAAATTTGCACATATCTAAGAAGTACTTATGTTGGCAAAATTTGTTCCCTTTCCAACGCATATTTTGTATGCAATTTGAAATAAGGGACAAAACCCCTTCCATATCCAATAGAAATCCCTACATAAAGCAGAGTTCATTGTACGATTCCGACTATATTATGAGCATGTGTTTATGAATCACTATCAAATATTACAAGGTGTTCGCGAAAGGTGAGCATATCCTGCCGCACTGGTGGCACACGTTACAAACACATGAAAAAGGAAAGTCAGGTGTTCTCCTAAAAACAACAGCACGGGAACATATGGTACAAGTCAAAATAAGGAATAACATCGAACATAATTTTTGTCACTGATGCGTCAAATTTGGAAATGTCCTCCACATGTCTACCATAAAAGGTTTTGAAAGCTTTACTGAGACCTTGAATGTTGTAACCTTGATGAAACAACTTCTGAGCAAGAGTTGTAGGACGCTCTTTGAAATCTTGTTAGAAAGAGCATGCTCGATTGAATCCCAAAAGTGGTGAAATGTGAACACCAAAGGCTGGAGCTGCTCGACATGAATGGTAAGTTGACTATTGGAAAGTTGAAGTCGTCCCTCGTCTTGTGGAGAGTGTTTTGTCACTCTGAATCTTTATGCATAGATCTGAATGTGAAACAGATGTTTATTTGTTTGTTGTTTAACGCCTCACTCAGCAATATTAGACGGTCTCACTGGTCTCCTTTATTTCTAGTTCAGGTGGGTGAATCAGTGGAAGGGAATTGGCTATTGGATTGTTATTGAACGATATAAGATCATCGATATACCCTTATAACTTAAGTTAAACTTCTGGGCCAAATAACTTTGTTTTCACTGCCAATCCAAAAAAAAATAGGACTCATATGCATCAAGAAACAAATCCGCAGGAAGGGGGCCACACTTGGTGCCAAATGGTACGTAGTTATCAATGAGGAAGTCCAGCATTTCACATATTGTTTTCTCAGACGACATTTGCGTTCATTTTTCACAAATTGTCCTGAACCTCTGAATATAGATACGTAACTGTGTTCACCACATTTTTTAAGAAAAGCCCAATGGATAAAGGGATGAAGTTTCCCTTAAGTTTGTCATATTGGGATAGTGTTGTAGAGAGTTGAAAAATCAAATGTTTTGACAGAATTGAACTTGGTATTTTTTTCTGAGATTGCAAAAGTTTAATTCAACTTGTCTCAAATACTTTCTGTTAATATAAAGAAAGTCCTACCTTGATTGTATTAAGGATTATGGTTACTTTTTGAGACAGGGATTTGGTGGTACATTTGCTAGACCCAGCAACATATCTCTCTTCGTACGGATTTCTTTTGAGCTTTGGAAAAGTACAAAAGAGCAATGGACAAATGAAATCTTTATGTTCGTTAATATGAATTATAAACTCGAAAATACGATCTACGAAGTGTTGCCATCTTGTTATCACTATTATATATGAAATATGTACTATTCTCTTATACCACAAGTGGTGTTTTATGGAGAAGTAGCAAGTTGTGAAGTCATTTCAAGTTTAGTAAACGAATAATTGATAATAACAAAAAAGAATTACCTGGAATGTCTTCTCAGCATTACTTTCAACATATATTGATTCATTTAGACGAAAGAATGCAAGACAATTTCAATAACCAGTGAGCATTCAGATCAATAGCCACACTAAATGACTTCATTAAGATCAGGTTATTTCAAACAAATTATGATCGATCTGTGCCAAATCTAACTGTTTACATGTTAGGTATAAACACTAACAGGTCCATAGTTACAAGTGACTTGCTCCAAGACATTAACTCAACATAGGACAGTTGGTACTTGATAATTATAATAAAAGTGTAGACACACATTGTTGATGTTAGGAGTATAGCTAAATTGAACCGTACTGATTAATAGTCATAGTTAAATGTAACGAGAAGGTCACAGGAAAACGCTTTTGTACTTTACTTGTCAACAGACATATTTCCAGATCATAATTGTGAAAAATATAAAGGAGTTCATACAAGATTTCAGAGAAGTAGAATGTCCATCACACTGTGATGGCGGCACTACTTACGTAGGGTCAGAAATGCAGTAGCAGTCTCGTTGTGAATAATTAACTGCAGATTCATATTTTCTGCAGCATTTCTATGTGGCCGACATTATTAAGACGTTTGTGTTTTGTTTTGTTTGTTTGTTGTTTGACGCCGCACAATATTCCATCCATATGACCGCGGACCACCCGATCACGTTAGTCGCCTCTTACGACTAGCATGGGTTGCTAAAGACCAATTCTAACACGGAATCTTCACGGGACCAAACCGTTTGTATTTGCTTTGTCTGTATTTGCCTTGTATTATCCTATATGGTTGGCTTGTATTCTTAGGGTGACCTGAAATAATACGAAAAAATCACTTATCTAAAACCCCAACATGCGGCCTTGCAGTTTGTCCAAAAGTCATGTTGTGTTTTCAAGAATTTGACTGCTCTCGTTACTCCGGCCCTCTCTCCCTTTTGTTTGAAACATCACGAAGTGTTTGGAGACCTAGACGTCTCACAAATATTGTCTAAATGGTCCTCGTGCTCGTTTCAGGATTTCTGTTCATAAATTTATTTTAACAGATTACTCGAGCTTTTCTAAGTTTTTGCTAACATCTAATTATTTATTTCAGTTGCTCTATGAACTTTATTCTTTTATTCCAGACAAGGTTTATTTAGTATGGTAATGTCAGTTGTTTTAGTTCACGATAGAAACGAAACATTTTAATCTTATTTTTGTTGTTGAAAATCTTCCTAGACTCACCCATGCGCAGATGAACCCTGTGGAGATGACCACGTGTGTGTCCCTGTCACCAAATCTACCAACTATGTATGTGTACACGTCGACACACACACAAACCAAGCACCTGCGACTGGAATAACGACCGGTACTGCACCTACTGCTGCAACAACTTCTGTACAGGATACAACACCGGCGTTGACAACAACACTGACACCAACGACGACACCTACACAAACAACATCCACACCGACTTCGACACTTGCACCGACAACAACACCCTTACCAACTACAACGGCAGCACCATCTACTACAACACCTGCACCAACTACAACAGCATCACCCACTACTACAACACCCGTCCCAACTACAACTCCGGCTCCGACTACAACACCTACACCAGAGACCACACCAGCACCGACTACCACGACATCTGTACCAACTACAACAGCAGCACCAACAACTACAACACCTGCACCAACTACAACATCCGTCCCAACTACAACACCAGCTCCGACTACAACACCTACACCAACGACGACACCAGCACCGACTACCACAACAGCTGTACCAACAACGACTACACCAACAACTACTACCCGTAAGTACAGAGTAAACCCTTGAAATAGGTTCCATAGGAATTAGGTTATCTGGTGCTCTGGGCAGTTGCTGGTCATGTCACAAATGACTTCCGTTGGCATTCCGGGGCAGACGAATTCCCAGTAGCTCGAACTAGCCGAGGATTCAAGACATTGACATCGTACAGTTCTTTAAGACCATTATTGGTGTCCCCCACAGTGATATGGCTCGAATGGTCAAAAACATCAAAACATGATGTGATGTTATCAGTTAGCCCGACTACCCATTCAGTTTGTCACTTACCAACTTTGTTTCAGGTTTCTCAGCCGATGAATTGGTCCTACCTGCCTAATTAAACTGCAACATTATTACCTCATGTTCTTTAACCTTTGGCTTTGGTATCTACAGCAATTATGTCGTAAAGAAACGTTCTCTGATATTTTCATTTAAATTGTTCCAGGCAATGAAGTGCGGCTGTTAAGCAGGACGTACGAAACCCTTGGCTTAATAACTGTTCTTTTCACCCAGATGATGGCACGTGCGTTGATAACAGTGACTGCAGTTCCCTTCCCTTCACAGAGTGTTCAAACAGCCTCTGCGCATGCACCGTGGGAAGTGACATGGATGAATCCACTGGCATATGCAGATCATTAGCAGGTATATTGACATATCTTTTGATAGTAAGAGAGCACAATCAATGTGAATATCGCTTCAGTAGTACATATATTGAAATAATTAGGTAAATATTGAACACTTTGACATTCTAAAGATAATATGACACGGATTGCTGTCGAAACTATACTGAACTGCAAAAGAAACGTCACCATGGATAGATATATGAGGAACCTTATTTGTCCAAACGATGTAAACATACTTTGAGACATATTAAAAAGATGAAACTTGGAAAAAACTGATCATCAAGGTTGAAATTAAAGTGTCAAATGTTCTTGTGAAACACAACACTAGTCCCTGAGAAAATGGCATCGTGTGTCCGCCATGTGCATTGATGACTGCCGTGCAACGTCGATACGTGGAATGGATGAGGCGGTTGATGAAGGCCATGGGCACTTGAGCCAACACTATGAGGAACGCCCGACGCAGTTCAGCTGCAGCGTCATTCAGTCGTCTTTGAATCTCGTCCCACAGGTGTTCAATGGGATTTAAATCGGGACTGAGGGCAGACCACTGCATGGCTCTGATGCCATTCTGCTGGGGGACATCCCTCCTTGCTCTCGCAGTGTGGGCACGGGCGTTATCATCCTGAAACTCGTGGTTGCGGCGACGTGCCAAATGAGGTATGGCGTGTGGTCTCAAGACTTGATCAATGTACCGAGCTGCTGTGACACCATTGCCTCTCTCTGGACCGATGTTCTAGAAGACCACAGGGTCGACCCTCTGTGCAAGACCAATTCCACCCTACACCATGATGCTCGGACCACCCCACGAGTCTCTGACAAAAACACAAGCATCCGAATAACGTTCCCCACTGCGTCGCCAGACTCTCTCTCTCTCTCTGCCATCAGCTGTTGAGATACAGTAACGGCTCTCGTCTGAGAAGAGAACTCTTATCCACTGCTAGTGGTGCCAAGATGGGTGCTGTGTTGCCCACTGAAGACGGTCCCGGCGATGACGTGGTGTCAGAATGGGTCCTCGGTGTGGCCTGTGACAGTGGAGGTGTCTGCTCGTCAATCGTCGACTCACGATGTCCGCACTAATGTGTCGCTGGTGTGTCCCCATTGTCTGGCGAGCAGTTTCTGCAGCAGTAGCAAAGCGATCTTGAAGATGCTGTCGCACAACCTGACGATCCTGACGTCGGGTGGTGACCCTTGGTATTCCACTACGTGGTCGGTCATCTGTATTGCCTGTATATTGTCCTTGAAATGCATTGGACATTAAATGCGTTGGCTAATTGTCGGGTGGTTTGTCCAGCTTGCAATCGTCAAAGGGTCTGGTGCCGCTCATTTCTTTTAAATCTTGGCATGTGGTAGCAATTCAATAACGAATCAATGTCATCCGATCTGGGTGGATTTTTAGAGGGCAAGAAATGGGGGAACGCATGTTTCAATTTGCAAGGAACTCACGGAATTCACGTGCATCGGGTTACCATGGCCGTTGCCGTGATGCGTTTGGGCGATCGGTTTTATTGTCATCATATTTCTTTATCATCAAATTTCATTTTTCCGGACAAGGTAATGTTAAATTTTAGAAACTTTGACAAAAATTACCCAGATATTTAAAAAGGAAAACTTTTCATGCAATGCTACTTGGGGTGACGTTTCTTTTGCGGTTCAGTGTATTTGACTATTTCATAAGATTTCTCTCATCAAACTAAAATGGGTCCTAAGATGAAACAAACTTAAAAATATAAATGACGGAGAACCGAACAGAAAGCATTTGAACCTATTTGAGGTCCTCCTTGAAGCGTTTCTGCCTTTTTATATATGTTGCGCCTAGCTCAGCTGTTCAGTGGCGCTTTGAAAGCATTGGCAGTTGAGCTTCATGTTTGTATATAGGAATCAGTTAGGTAGCTTGTCTCTCTCTCGAACTGTCCCTTACGTGAAGACTAGAGGTTTACCCTTTGTCCCTTGTGGAATTGGTAGCCAGTTTCTTAAGTAACGGTGAAATGTAATTTTGTAAGTTGGTCCTTGTTATTCTTGCTGCTCTGTTTTGTACTCTTTTGAGATGGTTGATTGAACAGGAACTATTTGGCAATGAATTACAGTAGTCCAGTCTTGATGAGACATACGAGTGGATCAATAGGTTAGCGGTCTCTGGGACAAGATACTTTCGAATTTTCCCTATATTCCGCATATGAAAGTTAGCTGCCCCTGAGATTTTTAGAGCTTGTTGCTTTGATACATCACTGGCAACAAGTTTTCTTATTGGTGTAAAATGTGAAAAACGTAACATTGGATTTGAAAGGTGAAGATGAACATGTTTTACTGATCAGCTGGTACTCACAGCACCAGTCGTCTCCACCGGTTACCACCTCATACCCCGATCCGCCAGTGACACTGGACCTAAGCCAATAACAACGGATGCGCACGTACAATCTCACACAGCGACCACACGTCCACTTGCATCAGTTCAATAAAAACGATAACACAGAGAACATTAATAATCAATTTACTTTCAAAGACAGAATTGATGCATTTATCTTTGTATGTATCTTGAGAATGAGGCCAAATACTGTAAACCAAAAAGGTTGGTCGGTTGGTTGGTTATTTTACGCCGCACTCAGTAATATTCCAGTTATATGACGGCGGTCTGTAAATAATCGAGTCTGGACCAGACAATCAAGTCATTAATATCATGAGCATCGATCCACGCAATCGGGATCCATGACATGCATCAACCAAGTCAGCGAGCCAGACCACCCGATCCCGTTAGTCGCCTTTTACGACAAGCATAGTCGCCTTCTACGGCAAGCACAGGTTGCTGAAGACCTATTCTAACCCGGATCTTCACGGGGCTAAACCAAAAAGGAGATATCGAAAAACATATACTTTTGTGTCAGAAACGAAATTGTTGCAATCTAGAAATATGCAGAAATACTACCCAAAGAAGTAATAGAATACCCGATTTTTCCATACTACTGTAGTTAATCTGTCATACCATGACATGACAGAATCGGGTGCTCTCTAACTTCTTTTGAGTAGTATAATGCCACTGAATGTGAAGTCTGATCGCAGGAAACAACATCCACGCCCTCCAGGTGCAGTGGGTGACGTTTGATGAACAGATTGTGGTTCAGTGTTTTCATGTGTAGTTCATTTGCACGATGGATTAATACAACTGTGTTGTTTTCATAATTTGTAATCATTACAGAGTGCTCGTCCTTTGGATCTACCTTCACCAGCATCACGGATAATGCCATCACCGATCATAATCTTGAGATCCATTCATCGAAGACGTCAGCACAATGTGAACAATTGTGTCTAGACGCCTCATTCGTATGTAAATCGTTTGAAATGTTTTTCAATACCTGTTTCTTGCAGGAAGTCTCATGGTATGATGTTACAGGAAGTGAACGTGGATATAAGAAATATGTCAATCACAGCCAACGCAGATGTAATTGGTGAGCTACGGTATGAATTTGAGGGCCATTCTATGCTACAGGAGTAACAATCCCAAAGCGCAACAGCTTGTCTATATATCGGTGCTTGTCCAGCACACAGAAGTAGTGTAAGGCCTTATGATTTCAATTTATTGTGTTCATAGTTTGGTGCTGGTATTATAATAATTATAAACCATTTTACTTGGAATTTTCCGAAGTAAATAATTTGGTCCAGATATAACAGGGAAGAAATTAATGCATCCTCAAGTTTAACCACAGCCCCAAAAATCTATTTGCAGGCCATATTGGATGTCCTGTGTTAATATACCTGTGAATACAAATCTTTGAAAATTGTTTAGTTCGTGGGTTTTGTCTAAAAAGTATTACATCCTTGGTCCCTTGAGCAGCATAAACAATTTCACTTACACATCACATACATAAAGAAGCGAGATTAAGTCATTCAGTAGTGGTCTGCGTCTCTTCTTGTAACAGCAGGTAACATTGAAACGTTGAACTAAAGGAGTTTGATAAGCATCGGCCTCGGAATCCTTACATAGATATTTTGGTTAACACCTGGTTTAACCATCGTTTTACTTTGTCGATCCGCTGACTGTCAGTTCGAATCACTTATCAATATAATACAGTGGGTTTCATCTCTTGTGTAGCCCCTTCAATGATTTAGTGTGCACTGTATAACACGTTTGAATTTTATACTACATGTAAGTATGTACCACAAATATTTTTTGAATATGGTTAATTGATGTATGTCATTATTCCTGTTTTGATTTCCTAATGTCCTGCGTACTGTCGGTGTTGTTTCAAATATCAGACTGTTGTCGGGGGCGCTGCAATTCACTGTGCAGAGTTGCGTCCCTTAGACATGCCTGAAACATATGGCCAGCTTCGCCCTGATTAAGTTTCTAGGTTTGGCAGCAATATGCCGATGCTCGGGGTTTCAGCATTGCGGTAAACGTATTAGACCCGAATCACTTCGGGCGTTCCAACACACCAAGCTGTGATGCCATGATGTAGGTAATCATGCAAATCTGTGTTCACAGCTGTGCTCAACCAACTTACTCACTTACGTCTACTAGATTCTTTATGAATATTGATATCATCTTTGACAGTACTTATTTGTACCTACATATTGTTTACCTTACTTTTTTACTATTACATGTGAAATGTGTGTCAAGCTGCTAATATTTTCTATGGTTGAACACACACTGTTAATATTTACATTTCAATATGTGTCAAATTGCTTATACATTTCTTCTATAGTTGAACACGCCGTTATACTTCATTACTAACACAAAGTGATGTCAATAAAACTCATACAACCTTCAAACTGTTGTTTTGTTTCGTTATGATACTACTACTAAATGTAAACTGCCGGGGAAAGAAAGTATACACCTATGTTTGATGGTGGCTAAAAATGATACTAACATGGATCTGTTTTCGACCTTAAGTTTGCAGTGTCTCGGCCACGTTTTGGTAATATTTCTAATGTGTTGGTCAAATCCAAATTTGAAGTGTATACTTTATTTTGCCCGGCAGTTTGGAAACTGCTATAATACTGAACTAGGATATTTTCGTTGTTTCCTATACCAATCAAACATAAGAGAATAAAAGCGACAAAACCCTTCCCAAAGTCGAGAGTCAACCTCTTTGGTTTATATTAAAACAGAGAAATTGGCCTGTAAGCAAGTTGACTGATATTTAGAGAGTAACCTACGAACAACAAGGATAAACGGATTATCTGTCCCTCGGGAATTTATGTTGAGCGTTCCTCGTCAAGGATAGGAACTTATAAATTAATTGATTTGGAGCAGATAATCACCCATAATCTTTATGTTACCAATAGTATTTTTTTGTGAGAAAATGTAGACAAATGTGGGACTCAGTTAACCTATTGTTGGAAACGACGTCAATAAAATCGTCATCTTCAATTATTTGCGACAATGCGCTCATATCTCCTTACGTTCCTGTGGTCATAACATAAATGTGCTGTCTTCGCAAAACATTGACAACAATGGTTGGATGGTTTGTTGTTTAACGCCGCACTCAGCAATAGTCCAGCTGTATGAAAATAATCGAGTCTGGACCAGACAATCCAGTGATTAATATCATGAACATTGATCCACAAAATTCGGATGGATGACATGCATCAACCAAAACAGCAAGCCTGACCACCCGATTCCGTTAGTCGCCTTTTACGACAAGCATAGTCGCCCTTTACGGCAAGCATGGGTTGCTGAAGACCTATTCTACCCCGAAATCTTCCCGGGTCGACAACAATGGTACAGTTAATATAAGGCTCAGAGAGAATTACTGATAAATAACGTCACCTATATCATATACTTTCGCTTGTGGGTAATGTAAAAACTTAAATGAGTAATATAAAGAATAACTAACTCGAAACTCGGAATTACGGATAATCTGTCACGAGTAAATCAATGGCGTCAATCCCGGGACATTAGCGAGGGACTGAAAACATGAATGTTGTGAGGATATTAAACACTGTTTAATGAAGACGTTTCGTTATGTGTGATCTTCTCACGGGTGAGTAATGAAATATAATAATGTGAGTGCCAGGATCCGGTATTTATGGGGGAGAATTCAGAAATCGTCTTGATTATTATCCTTGGTCTGTCAGCATAGACTCACACTCTTGGGTTTCACCAAAGTGTTAAAGGGGTACGGGTGACCCAGTCGTTGAAGGCGTCTTCAGTCATTCCGCTGTCGTGGGTTTTTCCAAAGTGGTTAACGTCTACGACCTTCGTTCGTTAAGAAACACGGTGCGTCAGAACTGAAATTATGTTACAACATTCCTTAAACCCCACAAACTCTCTCTCTCTCTCTCTCTCTCTCTCTCTCTCTCTCTCTCTCTCTCTCTCTCTCTCTCTCTCTCTCTCTCTCTCTCTCACACACACACACACACACACACACTCACACACACACACGCTTACCAGTAGTGACTTCCCAGATGCTAATTTGACCATGTTGAAGACGATGGTGACGCCGATTGATTTGCCTTCGAATTTGAGCTGAAGTGATTCGGCATTGAAGGCTGATTGTATCCGTATTGGCGCTGTCTTAAAGTGGCGTCACGCACAATTGTGTTACGTTGCGTAATACATGTAATTCGCGTCCGTTCATCACTATCTGGTAATAAAGAAATTGATTTTATGTCTATAGCAACACTTGCATAGTAAAGTGCAGTGTTTTAGTTGATGACAATAAAATAGAAATCTTTTAATGCAATCTTTGTATCTGTTTGCTTTTCACGCATAAACATATACTCGACAGTCCAGTTTCTGTTCAAATTTTACAAACAGCGGAACGCTAAAATATAACGTACATTATAACGCAATTATAACGTACATGAATCATCGTTACGTGACGTCTATTAGTATTCATACAGACGTACCCTCCCGTATCTGTCCCCTGCGCGTTATTTTCTGGCATTGACATTTTATATTTTCAGGAGTAGTTTCTGTAAGTTCCTGTAACACCAATATGTTAGTGTTTTTTTCAAACAAGTTAAGTTTGGTTTTCAATATTGTTGTACATATATGGAATGAAGTCACAAAAACGCAACTGCTACAGAAAAGAATGCAAAAGTTGACTTTTATGCAAGCCCCATGTATTTCACTACCCAAGAATGGGTATAAAACATGTGCGTTAACGGGATTCCATATGCATTGTTTAGTATCGTGCTGACAACAACCACTCAGGAAAACAACAAAATTACGCAATTATTCAATATTACGAAATGACACACCTGTCCGAAAATGAGCGTCTGCGAGCTTCTGGTATGCTTGAAACAGGATCGAGTCAAAGTGCCGACCGCCCTTTGCTGGACAAGAAGGAACCCAACATTATTATGGTGAACAAAGACAGTGACACTTCAGTTACGGTGTAAAATATTTTATGAGCGCTTTCGCACATCATGACGTTTTGCTCAGGTCAATCATCAGTTCCCAGCATAAAGCTGTAACAACCACCAACAAAAATGACACAAGTCCAGGCTTGATATCTGTTGGGAATCCTTAACTATACTCAACAACAAAAGTTCCTGGGACACCAATATTTTAGTGTATTTTTCAAACAAGTAAAGTTCGGTTTTCAATATTGTAGTACATGTATGGAATCAAATCACAAAAACGCAACTGCTACCGAAAAGCATACATTCAATACAAAAGTTTACTTTTATGCAAGCCCCATGCATTTCACTACCCAAGAATGGGTATAAAAATATGTGCGTTAACGTGATTCCATATGCATTGTTTAGCATCGTGCTGACAACAACCACTCAGAAAAACAACAAAAAATTTCAACATTACGAAATGCCACGCCTGTCCGAAAATGAGCGTCTGCGAGCCATTGGTAAGCTTGAAGCAGGATTGCAATTGAGTCCAAGTGATGTTGCAAGACAATTTAACGTCCACAGAAACACCATTTGGTGTTAATGGCAACGTTGGCAACAGACGAATGTAGTCAGAGACCATTCTCGGAGTGGCAGGCCACGCGTAACCAATAATCGACAAGACAACTGGATTCGAACAACACACTTACGAAATCGATTCCAGCCAGCAACAGTGACTGCAAGAAGCATCCCTGGCCTTCGACGAATATCTTCACAAACCGTACGTCGCCGCCTCAGATGTGCATGGATTGTCGCCAGAAGACCCGCAAGACGTCCCATATTCACAGGAAACCACCGTCAAGCACGTCCACAGTGGTGCAGACAGCGTCTACGTTGGACGGCCATGCAGTGGGGACAAGTTCTATTCACTGACGAGTCTCGTTTTCACCTCAGCCACGGCGATGGACGGATTCGAGTGTACCGACGTCGAGATGAACGTTACGTCAATCACTGTGTCATGGAAGAAGATCGGTTCGGGGGCGGCAGCGTTATGGTATGAGGTGGGATTACAGCAAGACAGAGGACCCGTTTGATAGTGGTAGAGGGAAATCTCAATGGATAGCGACCAGATCATCGGCCCTTTTGTTCTACCGTTTTTGCGTCGTCATGGCCGAGGCATTACCTTTCAACATGACAACGCCCGGCCTCATATTGCTCGACTTGTTCAGGATTCCCTTCAACAAAACAACGTGAATGTTATCCCCTGGCCGGATCGCTCCCCTGATCTCTCA